GGGCCCCGGCGTTGGCTCGCGTGTCGCCGTGCAATCGTCGCCGTGCAACGTCTCATGCATGCGAGTGATATAAAATTAAGCAACGATTTGGAAACAGTGTTAGCCGGGGGGTGTGCTCGTTGTCGTGGCGTGCCCGGTTGCGCCTGCCGTTGCGCCCGCGTAATCACCACTTTTGCTTGATTTATGGACCCTGGTTTCTCTTCCCTCGCTTCTGGCCAACTATACAAGTTCCAAGTATAAGAAAGTCGTCGGATAAACGCCATAATGGTTGGGCGATAACCTCCGATAGAAAGAGATACGTTATCGGGGGAGGGGGAGGATACGTTATCCGTGGCTCGGTTAAACGTCCATCGAGGCCAATAATGGCCCGATCGAGATCGCGAAATTCCAGGGTCGACAGTGTCAGAGTGGCCTCCATAGATTCCGTTCTTCGGCCGCAAACCGTCATCCTTTGGTACTCTGGTTGATCGATGCGATCTTAAAACGTTATAACCAAAGTTATATTATCGTTCGCGATTTCTCGAGAGGGAAGAGAGGACGAGAGAGAGAGAGAGAGAGAGAGAGAGAGAGGGAGCGAGTTCGTGACCCGTGGCACGAACGACGTGCCGCTTGTTCGATCTCCAGTTTCTCCTTTCGGATCCCACGAGGCGACGCCAAGTGGTCATTCAATCCCCAAACTTGCCCGCGCATGATTTCGCTTGTAAGCCAACTTCGAGTTACAGCCATTTCGGTAGAGATCAAACGGCATACACGGCTACTACCCTCCCTCGTCTCCCCGCCTTAAAGACGATCATATTCAGCTTGTACTTGCACTTGTACTAACTGTACGATCGTAACGATTCCATGCTCTTCGTGGTTGGACAATAAACGTCGTGGAAATTTCGTCCAATTTATCGAGCCCTGGAGACATTCCAACGGTTCTTCCAGGTGACTCCAATTATTATTATTATATACGTTCTTCGCATTTTGTCAACGTTTTCCAATCCCTCGTGTATTTATGGTCAAAGGGAACACTTTTTCTTTCTTTCTTTCTTTTTTTTTTTTTGGTATAATTAGCATATATCGATGTTAATTTTCCACTTTCGAGCAAGAAGAAGAGAACATACACCTCGCCAACTCGTATTTAATCCTCGCGTCACCAACTGCGTCATAGCATATACCTCGTCCTCCTCCGGTTTCTTCCGTTGATGAACCAAGTTCGGGGGTATGATATTAAACGGTACTATCGAATTCGTCTCCCGACTAGGAGAATTTCTCTCAGACATGATTCGTGGATACCGTGTGTTCATCGCGCGCGCGCGCGCGCGCCTACGGAGAGGAGCGTGTAACCGGAGGAGCGTGTGCGTGCGGGGCGAGGCGAACAAGTTGCCACACCGAAGCCAGTAGTCGGAAGGATGGTGGTAGTGGAGGATGGTGGTAGTCAAAGTTTCGACAGTTTGTAAGGAGGTACGAGGCACGCCCCTGTACCCCTCCTCCTCCTCCTCCCGCTTCTTCTTCTTCGGTTACGGCTGAGGGATAACATAGTGCAGCTCCGTCGTCAAGTTAGCTCTCCTTCTCCTTCCCTCTCCTCTGATCTTTTCCTTTCTTCCCACCCGTACTTGTCCTCTCCGCTTTTTCCCTCTCTCGGCCATCTTTACCCCTTTCGCTCTTCCCCCTCTCCTTACGCCTTTATTGCCCTCCTTCCTTTTACTATCCTCCTTCTTATTCTCCAGCGTAACCCTTTCGCTTCAGTTTCACGAAAATTCCATTCGCCCCCGTGCGCTCGTTTGCCGGGACATCCCCTAGCTAGGATTTATTTTCGAGAGGCAGAGGTATTCTTATTCCTCGCGCGGCGGAAGAAGAAGAAGAAGAAGGAGGAGGAGGAGGAGGTTACCTTCCTTTCTGCGGCTTCGACGACAGTGCTTGGCCGCACCTGTTCGCTCGTAAGGGACGCGTAATGGTCGAAGAGGAAAAGCGATGGAAAGGACGGAAGATATAGGGGATGTATATATGTATATAGGGGAGAAGAAGAGGGTGGAAATGAACACAAGGTCGGAGGAGACGCTGCGTAATGACGCGTGGAACGTCCCCGCGTGGGGACGAGAAAGTAATTGGACGGTTGCCGGGGATAACTCGGTTCCGCCACCCTCTTTGATGAATGGGTCGAGCGTTCGAATAGTGACGTCACCGAAACTTGCGAACCTCTGATTGACGCTTCTTAAAACGGGGGACGGGCTCGAATACCAATTCCTCCAAGATTTGAACGACTCGCGTTTCCGGACGCGTGTCGAAGAGTGATCCTCTCGAGAGAATCTCTTTGTTTTTCGAAGCGAAGGGAAGAAATTCTCGTGAAACGAGGACGCGGAAGATTTTCAAATGGACACACGAGAGAGTAGTTATAGATAAGTTAACTCGATTTAGGCGCGAAT